CCCCCCCCCCCCCCCCCCCTAAAGCCGCCACTGTCTACATGTACGTTAAGGAGGAATTCACGTAAATGCTGTACCTGGGTGCCCGTTATATAAGTGTGAAAGATACTTTGGGCTTTTTACCAATTTGTACATATCATTTCCCCACATCATAATGTATCATCAGGTCTCGAGAATACATATAAATTTTGAGAGAAAATTGGATATACATTTAACATTAATGGAATAAAAGCATCTTGGATATATAGCCTCTACGATGAAATAGCTCTGTTACGTGAAAGCGTGAGGTATCTGTCGTGGTTTTTTGCATTATTAATCTCTGCATTAATAACTGAAGGTCAAAACTGTAAAGCAAAGCAAAACCACTACCTCTATCTTGGCTTCACTTAGAGTGCATTCTCAGAGATTTAGATCGATCCATCTGGATCGACCTAACTCCCTGGGGGTTTACGCTAAATTGCTGTCAGCCGAGCGCGCACGGCAGTTAATTACCCCTGAACAGCTTTTAGTAGGCGACACCAGTCTAGTGAGACTCCCCAGGGATAGATTGATCTAAATATCTATGGGAATAGGGTCTTAGTGAGGCTTTGTACCCGCCCTTCATAAGCACGATAGCTCATACAAACGGTGTATTATGGGGCTTGAAGCTGGTATTTTACATTTCTGTATAACATGATACAATACATTTTCCATTAAATAATTTAGATTATATTTGGATAAAAGCATTTGCATTATTAAAAACAAATACTGCCTTTTACAGAGAGACAACTTGAAGGACTGTGCCATGGATTACAGTAATTTTTTAATGAAATGGGAATTCTAAACTGGTTTAAACCCCATTTACACTAGGCGGCATCTTTTCAGCGACCTTTGTGCGACCTTGAAACTGGCATCGATGTGATAGTATAGAAAGGAGGCGTAAGTATCACTTTAGTTGCAGAATGAATGCTCAATGATCGACCAATTGTCAGCACGTAAAGTATTTTTTTTTAATCTCAGACGCAGAAAGGAAGCCGTTCAGTGTCATGGGGGCTTTACGTGTATCACTGCTAAAAAAAAAATACTAGGATGCCACGGAGTATCTTCGTAATTCGTAAATGTATTTATTTAAGAAAAAATAAGGTAAGATTATAGATAAGAGTTTATTAGAAAAAGATCATGGATAAAAAGCATTTGAAAACCTTTTGGATCCTTGAAGGGTTAAAAGTCTACAGTAAGCGGCACTTAATTAAAGATGGGAGATGAAGACCCATGGTTTTACCGCACGTCAGTGAGCTGTTGAATTCTAAGGTGTAAAATGCTTTAGAATAGATAAAACGACAAGGAAAAAATCTCCCTTTGTTAATCTACATTTGCAGGTCTTATAGGACCCGGTGTAACGTGAAAGAGAGTCCCCTATGATAGAGAGTCCGCTTCCCATTCATTCGCACAGGTGAGCTTCGCCCTGGATTTTGACCCACTTCGTCAGGCTAACCCTAACCATTATTACTAAATGGAGGGCGGACTTTCTGTACACCGGAAGTCTGGCACAACTAGCACATCGGGTGAGCAATGGATCACAATCATCAAACGTATCAGTCTGACTTCCATCTTTTGATCATTTTCTAAATATTGGTCGAATATATTTTGGTTACAAAGAATGTAATTCTACTATCATTTGCACATTATATAAAATAAAGGTTATGTTGCAATCTTAATCTGTAATCTTAGACTTCGCACCATCACATACGATTCGCTATCGATTGACTGCCCATAAAGAACAATATACACATGTAAATTTATAAAATTCTTAAAGCTAAAAATACTACTCGCGGATTATGCAAAATTTGCCTCAACACTTCTTTTTAAACATAAAACAATATTTGACCAATCTTTAAGGTTTTTAGATAAGAGCTGTTTCGACTGTCGCAAGAGCTAGGACTTTACTCAGTGGAAGTTTGACGTCATGATGCACATACATCCGCGTGCTTGAGGCATACCGCTGTTTCAAAGTTTCTTTGTTTTTCTCCAGTAACTCGTTGGTCATGTCGTTTTCCATTGGTGAGAACATATCTACTTTGTCCCCAAATGAAGCATTGTTAATTAATTTAGCCAACAACACTTTCAAAATATCTCCCGATTCGCCATAAACGGGGCCAAGGAAATTTCCTTCGTCGCTCTTTTGAATGACGCCATACCCGACAATGTCGTCTGCGTCCGGTTTCGTTGCCACCAAGGTCAAGGTCGAATCTTTTTCTAACCAAACTTGCAAGAATTTTCTTCGTTCAATTGAGTGGATTGTGGTGTCGTATTTTACTAAGCGTTCAAATAATTCCTCGTGGAAAGGGACGATAGAAAATCCTACATTTTCTGAAATCTGAAGGGACGTGGTATCTATGATTCCGCTGATATGGCCTATCTTCCATGATTTGACGGAGTATCCCAACTTCAGATTCGGCTCCACTCGGGAGGCCACGGAATTGATGCCAAAGTTTCTGTCTCCAACGTGTTCCTTTCTCTTTTCCCACAGCTTGGTGCCTGTCACAGCAATAAAGCAAATCAATGCCGGCAATAGAAGATAACTTCAATTATTATTTTGGCGTAACTTTGTAAGCCATGAATGGATAGTCTATTTCATATTTACAATGGCGATTCTTTAAAAAATATAGCATTACTCGAAGTAGACCAGAGTTGTTGGGCCTAAAATTAAGAACAAGTTTCGATTACAGCTCTTTTGATAAATTGGTCTCAGGTATAAACGCACTAGAGAAGAACAACGTACCAATACGCTTTCCTCTAACTTCTTTACTAACAATCCAGGCACCTCCAAATGCTTCGGTTTCACTCAAGTTGGCTCCCATTATAACACCTGAAATGAACAAAAAGGGGGCTCTGTAAAACCACGACATGTGCCCAGTAATATTAAATAGATCATATTCAGTCACAACAAGGAAATGCAAAAATTACAGNCACACACACACACACAGTGCATCTTCAAGTAAAAAGAAACCATATATATAAATATACCTTTAAATAATATACATTTTTATTTAGTTATCTTTTGATAGGGTGATTACATTTAGAAGAGCAATATCCTTCATCTACAATACTGCATCACCAAGCATTAGACGGCAATCCTTCAAACGTGAAATATATGACTTGTGAGTAAAGAAGTGAGGGGAATTAATAATACATGTAGTTTCGATATAAAGCCGCGATTTTTCTTACTAAAGAAGTTGCATATTGGGGAATAAATTCAACAAAACTTTCTCAAATGAATCCTCTCAAGTTCTTTTATTCAATTTTGCATCAAAAAACCATCTCGGAATGCTTATTTAGATCACAGCAGTACTGTCCAAACACATTCATATTTAGTCTTTTTATTTCCAATAATTATACATGGTCTTCATTTAATGTCATTTACCGCAATGAAGTTCAGCGGGGTTTGATGGACGTACGATCCTAAAATTCGTGCGTCAGGTTGTGGCCGAGGACATAATTGGGAATGAGCCCTAAGGGTTGTGTTTAAGGGAAGATTGGAGAGAAAAAAATGGCAGACTGGAGAGCGAGTCGAAAATTAAATAAAATAAATAAAAGCAGGCAATAAGGAAGCATTCACATCAAGAAGAGCCGAGGTCTAGTAAGGCCGCGACCTAAATATGGCGGACTTACATGAAAGGAAGACCGCTTAAGCCATTAATGGTCTCTACGCCTTTCACACGCCTCCCCGCGCGTCGGGGCACACTAATTCAATCTCGCCTCAATTCAACCGGTCGAGGGATGTGGGGAGCCGTGTGAGAGGTCGAGAGACCATTACAGGATGAAGCGGTTTCCCTTTCATGTAGGTCCGCCATATTCAGGTGGCGGTCTTATTAGACCTCTGCTCTTCTCGATGTGAATGCTCCCTTAGTACTCGGATCATCCATTCCGAATGGGGCCTAACTAGTCCGAGGATCAAATGTGGCGACCCACTTGAATACCACCCCACAGGGAGTCTATCCATTGTCTATTAGCGGATTAGACGGTAATCTTTGTAGTGGGTCGCCATATTTGACCCTCGGACTAGTAAGTCAACTGTTCTGAGTGCGGCCTTATATTCTCAGTACGAAGAACTTTTCGTTTCATTCACTGCGATGAAGTAGATGACTGCTGACGATTTTGTGTCATTGCCATAAAAACGTTAGTTACAATAACACAACTTTAGACTACGGAGGTGTAGAATCTCAAGTGGTGATATTATTTACCTTAATTTAGTATGGATGAGGTGGAATCGGGTGTAGGCAGATTTGGACGCATTCAAATACGAGTCAGACAGTCTGTTGCGCGTGTTGTAAGTAGCATCCGACGACGCAGTGGAAGGATTTCAGTGAAAACATCCCCGGATCAGGCTGCTGCTCCAGGCGCTGATGGAAGGGAGGATCCTATCGCAGAGAAAAAGGTACAAGGAACAATTTGAGATGCAATGGCAATACAGTTGATATCTATGCGAGAGCCTTGTTTTATTTTCACAAATCCACAATTTTTAATCTGATCGGTTTATTGATAGCTGAAACAAACAGCGCATTCCGTTTGTATCCCACCATTTCGGCTGAATTAGTAAATGCGCTTTGAGTTAATCAATACTTGTTTCCTGTTTTTACAAACATTTCTATTTTCATTTACTCATTTTTTAAAATCACTTTTCAATTTAGACCAAAGACAGCGACACGGAGATTTTTATCGATGGGGACACAGCAACTAAGCGGTGAGACTTAACGCTGCTGATCTCATCATGAAAGTATTTCTACTTTTTATTGAACTTATTAGACCTTCTGCGATAAAACATCTCACTAATATGAAACAGCATCTAAAACATATACATCAGCATGTAGATAAATATTCTCTACAAATGAAAACAAACAACAGTCTTCTCTTATTGATTACAGAAGTGCTTTTGATATACTCTTGTTTCCAACCATTTACTAGTAAAAAATACACACAGGTTGCCTTTGGATCAAAAATCGTTTTATGATAAATTTGTATTTTCCCCAAAGGCCTGATTCCACAAGCTCTAGTGAAAGAGCAGCTTATATGAAAGCGATGGAGGAACTGCGCTCTTTTGAGGAAAAGAAAAAGGAAGAGAAAAGCGAAGAGAAGAAACCAAAATCAAGATGGCAAACCTTCAAGGCAATGCTCTGCTGTTGTGCTTCCAAGGTAAGATGTTGTGATTTCTTTGCTGAATATCAAGTCTAATATACAGCAAAGAAATCACAATATTACAATGTAACAATTTTTTGTCAATAAGACCGCATTTCGCTCATTGCATTTATTTATGGATTCATGAAAATTAACAGACATTCAGTTCAGCTATGACACGTAAAAATTGGCCCATTCTGCACGGGAAAAGCAAATTTTTCTATGGATTTAACATTGTCCTTATTTAGAATGATGAACAGATATGAATTTACTTGTTAATCTTTATATTTTTACATGAGCCTTGTGAAAACTCAATTTGCAACAAACACCAGTGAGAATCGCGGTGACTATCGAAGAGAGCAGATATACATGTAGGTAGTAGGTTAAATTTCTTCTCAAAAATTTAAAGAAATGGCCAGTCTTAAGCTCTTTTATGGCTGAATCGAGTGATCTATTCAGTTTATCCCTTGGCATGTCGACTTAATTTGAGTCGTATAAGAAACTAGTAGAAGTGGTTTACATGTGTTACTGGGAATCCACGCTCCACCGGTGCTTGTTTAATACTGGGTATGTACCATAAACAGTAAGACGGTGATAATGTAAGGATGACGAATCCTAGAGTATCTTTGTCTGTATTAGAATTTTGCCATATATTTTGTATTAGAATTTTACCCTACATTTTGCCATATTTGCCATATCTGATTTTGAGAACTCACATATCTATAACATTTTGTTAGGATCAATGGCTTTCTATTGTGTTCTATTAACACATATTTTTTTTATATGGGGGCATGATTATTTTTTTTTATATGGGGGCATGATTATACTACACACATATATATATAAAGAATAGAAATATATATATTTCTTGGGGGGAATTGTCATGGGGGGAATTGTCCTAGAATCATAGCATTAATATTTTTCTCATTTTTCTGTTAGACAGTGCATGGTCCAAGGAAGTAAGGAGAAGTAGGAATAGTATTGGTTTGCTATTATTGTGGGTAGATATAATGATTTTTGTACACGGCGTTAATAATACTCCAGTAGCGTGTGTAAAAGGATAAAATACGAACGCTTACAATAAATGTTTTCCGCTTAACATGGATTCCTTTTTTTAACAAGTCCACATTTTGCGTTTTAAGTGTACTTTCAGTTGCAGAGCAAATACCCGTTGTAGTGTTCAACAGAGCATGCCTACGATCATCCTCGGGCCGTCTTCCATTCGGGTTCTACGATGTGTTCACGCCAGCGTGGAGTGATAGCTGAGGGTGTTCCACCTACGGGGGCATCGTCCTTTTCCATCCTTCGAGTCATCTGTGATCTATGCATTGCGCGGGCGGCCTGCACTCTCCAACTGATTATTGTTGTCAGCGTTGGATTTCCTCATAGCGATTTACTAGTAAATATTTTGACCAGGAATTTGGAAAGTAGTATTAAGGCGTTATCCAACCTAAATGTTTACAACGGTGTCCGTATTTCGAGTCTGTTTGTAATTTTATTCATTGCTCAAATTTGCGCGGTTCCAGACATTATGTATTGGCGTACATTTGGGATTTTGGCGCTTTGCCATGGATGAATTCTAGGTTACATTTACTCATCAATGGACCGGATTCAGTTGAGTTTTTTCAATAAACTATAACTGCAATGACCCGGGCACAGAGAGTGTCATATAGTTGACGCGGGCATAGAATGCGTTCAATGTTTTCAGTGACATAAAATCTGTCCTATGTGGACGATTGTTTTACCTCATGTTCATGCAGGGGCGAATCCAACATTATTTGAAGGGGGGTCTGCGGATGCCAAGCCGACCCCCCTCCTTGGCGTGGGGTTCGGGGCCGTTGAAGGGCCTCGAAAAAATTAGGGATATTAGAGGGGGAGCGGAGAACTAGAATTCAGCTAGTCAAAATTGTAATTTCAAGAGCGGACCAATGGTGTGATTTTTTTTTCCAGAAATCAAAGGGGGCGTTAGGACCCCCCCCCCCCCCCCAAAAGCCGCCACTGTCTACATGTACGTTAAGGAGGAATTCACGTAAATGCTGTACCTGGGTGCCCGTTAAATAGCTGTGAAAGATCCTTTGGGCTTTTTACCAATTTGTACATATCATTTCCCCACATCATAATGTATCATCAGGCCTCGAGAATACATATAAATTTTGAGAGAAAATTGGATATACATTTTACATTAATGGAATAAAAGCATCTTGGAAATATAGCCTCTACGATGAAATAGCTCTGTTCCGTGAAAACGAGAGATACCTGTCGTACCTGATGAGTGTTTTTATTAATCGCTGTATTAATAACTAAAGGTCAAAACTGTAAAAAAAGCAAAACCACTACCTCTATCTTGGCTTCAAGGGTGCATTCCCAGAGATTTAGATCGATCCAGAGATTTAGATTTAGATCGACCTAACTCCCTGGGGGTTCAAGCTAAATTGCAGTTAGCCGAGCGCGCACCATAGTTAATTACCCCCTTACAGCTTTTAGTAGGCGGGACAGACGCTTAAGCCGGATAAGCTGACAGTAATTTAGTGAGACTCCCCACAGGGATAGATCGATCTAAAATCTATGGGAATGGGGTCTTAGTGAGGCTTGTTATCCACCCTTCATAAGCACGATACCTGTAGCTTATACAAACGGTGTATTATGGGGCTTGAGGCTGGTATTTTACATTTCTGTATAACATGATACAATACATTTTCCATTAAATAATTTAGATCATATTTGGATAAAAGCATTTGCATTATTAAAAACAAATACTGCCTTTTACAGAGAGACAACTTGAAGGACTGTGCCATGGATTACAGTAATTTTTTAATGAAATGGGAATTCTAAACTGGTTTAAACCCCATTTACACTAGGCGGCATCTTTTCAGCGACCTTTGTGCGACCTTGAAACTGGCATCGCTGTGATAGTATAGAAAGGAGGCGTAAGTATCACTTTAGTTGCAGAATGAATGCTCAATGATCGACCAATTGTCAGCACGTAAAGTATATTTTTTTTTAATCTCAGACGCAGAAAGGAAGCCGTTCAGTGTCATGGGGGCTTTACGTGTATCACTGCTAAAAAAAATACTAGGATGCCACAGAGTATCTTCGTTATTCGTAAATGTATTTATTTAAGAAAAAATAAGGTAAGATTATAGATAAGAGTTTATTAGAAAAAGATCATGGATAAAAAGCATTTGAAAACCTTTTGGATCCTTGAAGGGTTAAAAGTCTACAGTAAGCGGCACTTAATTAAAGCAGGGAGATGAAGACATGATTTTACCACACGTCAGTGAGCTGTTGAATTCTAAGGTGTAAAATGCTTTAGAATAGATAAAACGACAAGGAAAAAATCTCCCTTTGTTAATCTACATTTGCAGGTCTTACAGGACCCGGTGTAACGTGACAGAGAGTCCCCTATGATAGAGAGTTCGCTTACCATTCATTAGCACAGGTGAGCTTCGCCCTGGATTTTGACCCACTTCGTCAGGCTAACCCTAACCATTATTACTAAATGGAGGGCGGACTTTCTGTACACCGGAAGTCTGGCACAACTAACACATCGGGTGAGCAATGGATCACATTCCTTAAACGTATCAATCACAGTCTAAGGCCGAGTTCAATCTTTTGATCATTTTCTACATATTGGACGAAAATATTTTGGTTACAAAGAATGTAATTCTACTATCATTTGCGCATTATATAAAATAAAGGTTATGTTGCAATCTTAGACTGTAATTTTAGATCGATCTAAGTATGGGAACCCAGTCTACTTCGCACCATCACATACGATTCGCTATTGATTGACCGTCCATAAAGAAACAATATGCACATGTAAATTTATAATTGTTAAAGCTAAAAATACTACTCGCGGATTATGCAATTTTTGCCTCGACACTTCTTTTTAAATACAAAACAATATTTGACCAATCTTTAAGGTTTTTAGATAAGAGTTGTTTCGACTGTCGCAAGAGCTAGGACTTTACTCAGTGGAAGTTCGACGTCATGATGCACATACATCCGCGTGCTTGAGGCATACCGCTGCTTCAAAGTTTCTTTGTTTTTCTCCAGTAACTCGTTGGTAATATCGTTTTCCATTGGTGAAAACATATCTACCTTGTCCCCAAAGGAAGCATTGTTAATTAATTTAGCCAACAACGCTTTCAAAATATCTGCCGATTCGCCATAAACGGGGCCAAGGAAATTTCCTTCGTCGCTCTTTTGAATGACGCCATACCCGACAATGTCGTCTGCGTCCGGTTTCGTTGCCACCAAGGTCAAGGTCAAATCTTTTTCTAACCAAACTTGCAAGAATTTTCTTCGTTCAGTTGTGTGGATTGTGGTGTCGTATTCTACTAAGCGATCAAATGATTCCTTGTGGAAAGGGACGATAGAAAATCCTACATTTTCTGAAAGCTGAAGGGACGTGGTATCTATGATTCCGCTGATGTGGCCTATCTTCCATGATTTGACGGAGTATCCCAACTTCAGATTCGGCTCCACTCGGGAGGCCACGGAATTGATGCCAAAGTTTCTGTCTCCAACGTGTTCCTTTCTTTTTTCCCACAGCTTGGTGCCTGTCACAGCAATAAAGCAAATCAATGCCGGCAATAGAAGATAACTTCAATTATTATTTTGGCGTAACTTTGTAAGCCATGCATGGATAGTCTATTTCATATTTACAATGGCGATTCTTTAAAAAATATAGCATTACTCGAAGTAGACCAGAGTTGTTGGGCTTAAAATTAAGAACAAGTTTCGATTACAGCTCTTTTGATAAATTGGTCTCAGGTATAAACGCACTAGAGAAGAACAACGTACCAATACGCTTTCCTCTAACTTCTTTACTAACAATCCAGGCACCTCCAAATGCTTCGGTTTCACTCAAGTTGGCTCCCATTATAACACCTGAAATGAACAAAAAGGGGGCTCTGTAAAACCACGACATGTGCCCAGTAATATTAAATAGATCATATTCAGTCACAACAAGGAAATGCAAAAATTACGGTGGCTGTGCAAAAAAAAAAAAAAAAAAAA